CACCATCTTTCCCACAGCCTTCGAGGGACAACCATCCACACTAACACCTTTCTTAACCAAGATCCAACTTAGCACCATGCCATACGACAAACTCTTCCGGTTGTGATCCCGGCAGAACACCATGTGTTGCATCATCAAAGCAGGCAGATTGAACTTAACCATATTCTTCAAACAGAAAGCAAAGGTACATTCCAACTTACCCAACAAACTGCTCTTATTGTTGTTAGGCAACAAACAATCTGACACCAACATAATCAAGATCCTTTGTTCCGCAGACAACCACTTCCTTTCCGGCCTCGAAGCTTGAGTGAAACCACTCGTACGGCCAAACAGATAACTCAAATAGTCACGGTACCCCATGGTATCCGTACTAATCCAAGAATGGCCACTGTACTGAGCCACTCCGGTAGCAGACAAACTCAACAACTGAGCTAACCTCTTCTCAGACAACACAACCTTCACACCTCTCACCTTAGAGGTGATCTCAAGCCTTTCACCTTCCTTCGTCACAACCATGTGACGGTAAAACTCCTTCACCAAACTCTGGTAAGTCTCGGCCCTTATGGCGAGAAAACCATCTAGCAAACCTTGAAACTTAAGCAAATCCAACAAGGAACTTGAAAAAGATTCCGGGTCAAAAGCTTTACCTTCAAGCACAAGATAGTGGGCATCCACCCATTCCGCTTTTCTTGCCAAACTTGACCTTCTAGGCATGGTGAAAGATGATCCAAAGCTCAACAAACAAATCCCACAACTTCTTCTTCTTCTACCACACTCTCGCGGCTCTCCCTCTCTCGCTGCTCTCTCTCTCTCTCGACTGCTCGGCGGCACGACACACAGCAGGACGACGGCGGCGAACGGCGACGGGCAGGTTAGTGGTGGCGGGTTGCGAAGGAGCGACGGGGTGGGGTGGCTTCGGGTAGCTCACGGGTAGGGAGAAGGAAAAAGAAGAAGAGAATTTTGGGGAAAAAAATTAGGGATTTGGGTGAGATTGGGGAAAAAAAATGATTAAATTTGGAAATTTTGGACAAAGTGGGATTTAAGGTTTATAAAGGATTAAAATGGGTTAGGTTCCAAGAAAGATAATTGGCTCAAGTGGTTTAGAGGTTGGGTAGAAAAGAAATTGGCTAGGGTTCAAAACTCAAAGGCTACAAAGAAACATTAGGCTCAACTTTTAGGCTACACAAGGAAAGATTTTGGTAGGGATTGGCTATTTTCCAAATCAAAGAATACTTGAAAAATTTAGGGAAAAGCACAAGGAATTGTTCTTCCTTGTGTAAAAACAACCAAGTCCAAAGGTGAAAAAATTGGGCTAAGCACAAGATAACTCATAGATAACAAGATGCCAACTAAAGAAAACACTTAGCAAGAAAAGAGACTATACTAAGCATCCAAACAAAGACAACTATGAAACACAAGATAACACCCAATGCAACAAAGAACACAAAGACAACTGCGAAACACAAGATAACACCCAAGGCAACAAAGAACACAAAGACAACTGTGAAACACAAGATAGCACCCAAGGCAACAAAAGAACACAAAGCTCTCGGGGACACAAGGATAGGCTCAAAACAAGGGTTACCTGCTAACTCCTCCTCCACCAGACCCTCCGACTCCGCCTGCGAACGCGCCATCACAAAAACTCTCCCCGGCGGCCTAGCTCCAACAGCTCCACGACTCGAACTCCCTCCTGGTGCTCCTCCGACTCCCGGGGGTTGCGGCAACGCTCTCTGACCGACAAGCTGAGGACACTCCGCAACTCTATGACCAACAACCCCACAGCGAAAACACTTAAACGCCTGGCCATAGCAAACTTGACCCGGATGCACTTTCCCCACACTTGCGACAACCAACCGACTTAGCTTGAACCGGAGGCTCCATCCTAACTGGTCCTTGAGAAGAAGATGACACAACTCTAGCCGGAAAACTCGGTCGGGGCTTCTTGAAAGCAAAAGAACCACCACTCTCAACTCTCTTCCTAGCCAACTCAAGCGAACTCTTCTGAAGCTGCTGAACACGAAACAGATCCGCGGCACACAGATACGCATCCTTAAGGGAACTGGGTCTACTCACCGTCAACGCTTTTCGTGCCTCATAATTCAGACCGACAATGAAACGCTCAACTTTGGCAAGCTCTGTAGGCACCAACATCCTCGCGAAGCGCGTCAGCTCTAAAAACTTCTTGTGGTACTCCACCACAGATAGGGGTCCTTGCTGCAGATGAAGGAACTCATCAAACATGGCGGCTCGCACATGCGCTGGGTAGAACCTTTCGCGCATTCTGTCCTTGAGCGCGGTCCAATCAAACCAAGGCTCTTCAAGAAAGGCCGGACTCTCGTGAACCCACCACAGATCAGCTTCTTGGCAGAAGTAGAACGTTACCAGTTCTACTCTCCTCTCTTCGGGACAACCCACCACGGTAAAAATCTTATCAAACACCCGTAGCCACTCTTCAAGGACTACAGGGTCTTCTTCACCAGCAAAGGAAGGCGACCGATGCCCGGACACTAAACGACCCACATCGCGGTGCCCAACCGGAGGCGGAGGCGGTGCAGCTTGATTGTTGTTCAACAGAGCTTCACTGAGAGACTGTATCGTCTGCGTCAACTGATGGAGATTCTGGGCGAGCTGCTCATTGGTCGGGGTCTCGGGGGTGCGGGCGCGAGGACGAGGAGGCATTGCACTTTTGCTACAACAACAAGGTTACCACAAAAAGCAAGCAAGCAAGACAGAAAACAACACACATCTCACCGCGCAACCTAGAGTCCTAAGCCTAACACTTAGCTTCTTAAGGTCGCTTAGAGGTCTCAAAACACACTTAAACACTTAGAAAGTCTAGACTTAACTCTTCCTAAGCTCTAAACCAAGGTTCAAACCTAAGCTCTGATACCAAATGTAACACCCCCAAAACAACAAGACCTAAAAAAAGTCTTAACACATGCAGATTAACAACAAAACACTAGCACAGCGGAAGATAGAAAGATAACTGGATAAAAGGAATCCAAAACGGGGTGTTATGCCACGTATACCACACTTGACATACGCTACGGCGACAATCTGCAAGTGTATCACTATTCCAAAAACAACAAACTAGAACAATCTAAAGACATTGGCACACAGGCCTCAAAAACACTGTCTAAAGATACAGGTGCTAAGCTACCGGCTCTAGACATCGCGCTCGACTACGCATCACCTGAAAGATACAAAGATAAACATCGGGGCGACGACCGGTCAGCGAAAGATGCTGGTAACCCACCAATACCGTTAAGTATCATAAATAGGTAGATATATAATATGAAAACTATTTTCAAAACGGAATACATATATATAAGTCAAAAGCCAAGATCAAAGGACAACACAAGACTCACCACTCGCAAGGATAACACCGAGAACACGTCCCAACCATAAAGGTTAACCACACACAAAGATAAAGAATCATCCAACGGCAACACATGCCAAAACACCACAAGACTCCGTGACTACACACGTCACGAGAGAAGATCACACAACAACGGCTTCACAAGCCCTCGTGACATCACACATCACGAGTTGATATGCCTTCCTTATGCCCTGTTCCAACCTTATGGCTAGCCACAACCTTGTACCTTCAAAGCCAACCATTACCTCCAGAAAACCCCTGTACAGCCAAGTCCAACCTTATTCCGCCGGGACCGTCGTCCCCCACCTATAACCACCAACGAAAACCCACCAATTCACGGCAACACATGCCCGGATAACACAATGTTATCCCCCAAACACGTGGACTCGGCCACAACTCCATAATCACGTCACGGCCACCACGAGGACCGCTGCAATACCTTGGTGAGTAGCGTCCCATACCACTAATCGTGCAATCCAGGTAGAGCCACACACGCACCACCACTCACACGAAACAAGCAACGGATTGCAAAAGATGTATGAAACATACTCAATCAAGAGACGGGTGACCACCCAACGACAACAACGACGCTAGCATTAAGATAATAACTAGCAAGCTCAACAACAGGAAAACTCAAGATAGTTCCGAGGAACATACAAGACACCACACGGTTCAACGAAACACAATGTTGAACACTTAGCACGATTCACAACACCAAAGATCCTACATGGATACCTACCATAAAGCTCTAGACCTACGAAACATCAAGAAGACGCTCAAATAGTTCCACAAAAGAACATCGAGAGGCCAAAAGATCAAAGACCGAGACAAACAAATCACGAGGAACAAATCCCATCACAACACCAACCATGTACCCGCGGGTGGACCCACGAGTAGCGCCCCACCCGTGGTTCCGCCCGCGGGAACATATTCCCACAGGCTATGTACCCGCGGGTAGGCCGGCGGGTGGTGCCCCGCCGCGGGAACACTCCTGTTCCACAACAAATCCCTTCGGGAATTTTATTCTCCAAACACAAATTCAAGTCCAAAACATGCCAAATCTCACCAAACACAACAAAATGACTTGAACCAAGGAAAATGCCAAGCAATGGCACAAAGGAATCCTAAACACAAGCTCTAGATATGCAATATCACAAAATAAATGCATAAACTCTCACATTTCATAGCAAAACACAAATAGAAACCAAGAAATCATATATAGGTAAGCAAAATAGGTTTTGTAGAGCATGGGTTACCTCTTGAAGACCAAAAGACACTAGTACAGAAACAGTCATTCGCTTCCAAAGTTAAGGCTAATTCGCGTCCAAAATAGCTGGGACGCAGATGGCGGGGACGCTGATTGTATAAACAATCAGCGTCCAAAGTAGCTTTGGACGCGCAAAATGATTATTCGCGTCCAAAGTTGAAGAACTTTGGACGCGAAAAATGATAATTCGCGTCCAAAGTTCGTGAACTTTGGACGCGTATAGTGTTTATTTATTTAAAAAAAAATACTATACGCGTCCAAAGTTTCTGACCTTTGGACGCGTATAGTAAAAAGAAATAAATTTTTTTTTTTTTTTATAAAACTATCAATATTTTCCTATACATCCCAACATAACTACCAAATAATATATTTCAACATTTATCAATTTAAGATGTATACTACACACCAATTCTATCAACTAAAATACACCAATCTAAATTTTCAATTCTAATAACATTTTATTACAAATAAACTACAAATTTTAAATGTTAACAATTAAAATAAATTACTCAAGATGTAATAAATTACTTAAGATGTAATATTTGTTCTCCCCTTTCACTCTCTGCTTCATTCTCCGATCTAACTCATCCACACTCACTTCAAATGGGGTGTCTGACGCCTGTACGTCATTTATTATTTTATTCAATCACAACCTTTTAATTAATTTTAAGCAATATAATTCTCATATTTTCTGAAAAATTAATTAAGGAGAATATAATAATGTTGAATCCTATATATGATTAATGATAGTATGTAGTGGGTTGGGGTACGTACCATGACCCATCCCCATGTGTCAGCATAGGAAGGTATGTGAGCAGAATAAGGCACAACATCTGCATCTCAAAAAATAAATTTACTGTACTATAGTGTCTATACATTCATCTAATAATTTTGTACAAGAAACAAGGGAACTTAGAAAATTTAATTTAATTTACTTAGCTTAATTGGTGGTTCTTTATCCAATCATATATATATATATATATATATATATATATATATATATATATATATATATCATGGAAACGGACTTACATTTGAAAACTTGTTTGAGAGTGTTGTAGATGCAAGAGAAAACCTCAGTGTGGCTAAAGATCCCAGCTGGTCCGGCCTGCCAGTATAGTATATACTATCTCAGTCAAGATGGATAACGAATAATAATAATTTAATTAGTGTACTGAGTGCTAATAATTAATTATTAATTAATTAATGACCTGAGTGACAAAGATGCCACGCTGATTGAGCTTTGGTCTGACAGTGGTTTGATAAAAGGATTGGGTGTAAAGCTGGTAGCAAGGCCCTCCTTCAATGGGGTCTGCTAAGTCTCCTATGATCACATCATAACCCTCTTCTCTGCTTTCAAGCTCAGCCCTGCATGCATGCATGCATGTATATATACTTACTTTCATATATATATATAATTACACCCAAAATGTAATGTAATATAATATAATGGAATTGAACCTGGCATCATTAATGACAAGATGAAGTCTTGGATCAGAAAAAGCTTCCCTGTTAACCACCAAATATGACTTGCAGAAGTCCACCACCTCCTGCATATATATATATATATATATATATATATATATATATATATGTGCACCCATAATCATAACATATTGTATATTGATGTGAAAAGGACAAAGAAAAAGACAAGATTTGGAAGCAAGAACAAAAAGTCAGAAATAGTGATTAACTCCCCCAAATCAGTTGGAAAATATTTTTGCTAACGGTGGCACTGATTAAGTTATTGCTCTGCTTCTTAAGCAATTCCTCCTGTGCATGTACATCACCATCCTTACCAGAGCCAAGTGGGGGAAAAAACTATTAAGATGAGTAAGAGATTTTAAATGCTTTTAAAAATAATCCATTTAGATAATACTAGGATCCCAAATACATTACTGTTTCTTTCACATCTTTCAGCATGAAATGTATTTTGAAGTGATATTTAAGCAACAATATTCAAATTTTGTGACATAAGAATTCTCAATTCACCATTTTTCTTGAAGGTGCAACTTTAGTAGTTGCCTCCATCTAATTTTTCCTTAAATCAATTATCCACAAAAATGCAATTGCATAAGCTGCTAACTTTTGAAAACTACAATTTACCTTATAGTTAATCATGACTTATAAGAATATATTTCCACTGTCCTCCTGATTCTCCATCTTCCAGCAAAATTGCAAACAAAGTTTCATACAGACACACACACACATATGCAGTTGGTTTCCACTGCCTAAAGTTGAATCAATATGTTTTCTTAATTGCGCTCCCTGCAATACAAAGTGATAATGATTAAATATGCATCATTCATGAATTATTAGATGATGTGGCCTTTCAAGTGTTGGGAACTGAATTTGGTTATAATTCTGGCATAGATTTCAAAATCACATCAAATGGGGAATCATTTTAGAAAACTGAAGAATTTTGAGATATTATTAGTATCCAAATGTTATATTGTAAGCACATGATGTAATCCATAAGAGAAAAAGAAACAACCAGTCAATGTTGCAAGGGAAAGTTCATATAAGATGCAATAACATCAAATTTTAACAAGTAATAGGAAACATAAAGTTAATATTAAACTATTAAAGGAAAGAAATGAAGAATAACATACTCCGTAACATGTAATTAACTAGATCATGTTTAAAAGGAAAGCTCACATTAGAGGTCGATCTGCACCCAACCACCACTGTTTTCCTTCAAGAGGTCGATCTGCAGAATCAAAAATGTCCTCCACATGGTTTTCAGTAAATGCTACTCGACCTTCATATGATAACTTGTCAACACCACCACCATACACATTTGCTAGATGTATCTTTAACCATTGCAACCCTGACTTGCCAAGGGGGCGAGCTTCTGCAAATTCCAGGATTCCACGGCACAAATCAGAGCCAAGATGATTCAAATATGGATGCATGCATGGGGTACGCATGGCCACAAAAATCAAGATTGTGTGGATAGTAAAATCCCTCCTCATCCCTCATTTTTCGTGCAACCTGATCTTCAAATTCAGCTGCCTTAGAATACAATCAATCTAACAAATAATAATGCAAAAGGAATTGAAATCTATTGTGCTTCTTACAGCTAGTTTCAGCTCGATATCACACCGTTGAGAATGTTTCTCGCTGTTTTGCTTTTTCACAGTTCTAACTTTCCACCTCCATAGAAGTAGTTTTGTGGTACTCCATATATGAAAGATCCTAGCATAGCATTCTAAGTTCTAAACAAATAGACCACAGAATATCAAACATTAGCATATATATATAGTTTCATGAAGTATAAGAAACATCATGTCTAAAAACTTTTCCCCAATCCATGGCTGGATAACATCTGTTAATTCATTTTCACTTAAATCCAAGACTATCAAGCTGCTTCCTAAGTTCTGCAAACTCAAAGGGACTTCCCCTTCCAGTTTGTTGTTTCGCAAGTGCAGAGATTCAAGTTGATATAGAGATCCCAGTGAATTTGGAATGTGGCCAGATAGATTGTTATTTCCCAAATCAAGAACATTTAAGTTCTGCAGCTTCCCAATGCATAAAGGTATCTCCCCAGATAACTTATTTGTTGAAAGATCAAGTTGGCCTAAATCTTTTAAATTGCATAACCACTGGGGGATTTCGCCCGTCAATTGATTATTTGAAAGGAAAAGAAATTGAACTGAGGCTTTCGTATAACTTTCAACCCCAACATGGGGTTTCATGGGAAGATTTCCACTTATACCATTTTGAGAGAGCTCTATCACTGTGCAATTCAAAAAGAGATCCCAAAACCAATGAGGGATAGCATTTGTGATGCTTGCATTACGCATACATAAAAACCCAACATTTCTTTGGGTACGAAACCAACGAGGGAAGTCAGGACCCATTCTAATGGAATCCATTTCAATGGATTCAAGTTGAAAAGGAGGAATCCAATCAGAGCTTACATTCCAAACAAGTAAATTTCCAGATATCTTCAAAGATTCGAGCTTATTAAGTTTTGAAAAGTGAAATTCTGAGAGAACACCTGTAAATGAATTACTAGATATATCTAAAAGTTGAAGGTGCGAAAGTTGTCCAAGGTTCAAGGGAACGCTGCCACTAAACTTATTATCAGGAATAAACAACGACTGCAACATTGATAAATTTCCAATTGACTCAGCTATTGTACCAGAGAAGGAATTTGAAGAGAGTGAAAGGCGTTCCAGATTCCTATACTCGTACAGCCCATTTGGAAGTTGACCACTAAAATAACAAAATATAATTTAAATAATTACTGAATTTAAAAATTTAATTCGTACCTTTTTGGCGTGCGTACTGCGGCGGCGTCGGTGTGCGTACTGCGGTGGTGAGCTTGTAGACCTGAGGCGTCGCGGCGGCGACCTCGGGCGGCAGCGGCGGCGACCTTGGGCGGCAGCGGAGGGGATGTCGATCGGCAGCGGCGGGGACGTAGATCGGCGAGCAGCGATGGACGACGGGATGGCGATGGACGGGAAGATGGAGAGCTGTGGACGGCGGGGACGATGGAGACTGATGGGCGGCGTCGGACGGCGGTGCTAATGGATGAAGATCGGAGCTGATGGCTGTGCTAATGGACGGCGATCTGATCTTGATCTGCTCTAGCTAGGGCATTTAGGATAAAAAAAATAAAAATAATCGCGTCCAAAGTCGACCACTTTGGACGGTTGATTATTATTCGCGTCCAAAGTATAGAGCTTTGGATGCCAATACTGTTTTAAAATTAAAAAAAAATAAAAATTATTTATATAGTGATATTTTAATTACAAAAATACCACCGCATTACACTTTAGGAGTCCAAAGTTCTAACTTTGGACGCAAATTAGTCGATTTTATTGATATTTTTTGTACTAGTGAGACTCTTCTTACACCACAACAAGCTCTCCACTAAGCTCACTAGCCAAACCCACTTCAAGATCAAACCAAAAGATCATAAAGATCCAACCTTTAAGAAAAAGACAACCAAGATGGAACCAAAAAGACTAGACAAGCTTAGATCTTACCCTTCTAGATGCCAAAATAGAGGAAAGATTGAATCTTGGGAGCAAAACTTGGAATCTTGACAAAGGCTTCTTTTGGCTTGAAGAACAAGCTACTCTTCTATTCTAGAGAGAAGGTAGAGATATTTTCTAGGAAATGTAAGGGATGAAAAATGAAGAAGTCTTCTAGGTTTAGGTTACAAAACTAGCTCTTGGTGAAAAGACAATGATACCCTTACTAAGTCTTAGAAAGTGTAAGAAACAAGGGAACTCCTCTCAAAGCACGAGGTACAACACCACTTAAAGATTGACTAGTCAAATACTAGTCCTTGAGTATCAAAAATCAGGATTTTAGGAATCAATTCCTCAAAAGAAATAGAATTAATTACTCAATTAATTCATGGTTTGGAGTGTGGATTTTTGGGGTGTCACATACTCGTCACAACAAAGCCGCCATCCACGTTGCTTGCTCAATGCATGTCTCTTCTTGCACATTCCTCCGATTGCGTCGCTGATCCGCATGCATGCCCACTTAATTCTCCTTTTTGATTGTATAAGTAGCTAGCTAAGCCTTGTAATTCAATGCATCAATCAATTGTAATTCATTCCTTCTTTCTTTAATTACCTCTCACGTAGATATATATATATATATATATATATATATATATATATATATATATATATATATATTTGTTGTCTTGTATTCTCTTTTGAGAATAATATATATATATATATATATATATATATATATATATATATATATATATATATATATATTTCTATATTCTCCCAATCACTTTATTAATTCTTTTTGTCATTTTATATAATTTTCTTCATTTAATATACTTTCCCTATTATTCAACTTCTATAATTCTCAATTTTTGATTCTTCGCTTTCGCGTTATTCCGCTATATTTCTAACAAGTGGTATCAGAACCAGGTTAATTGAGAATTATTTTCAAAGATGTAGACTGTCACTAAGTTCGATATTGAGAAGTTCGACGGGAAAATTAATTTCTCTATCTGGAAGGTTCAGATGGAAGCCGTTCTAACCCAGAACGGTTTGAAGAAAGCGCTAGCTGGGAAGAAGAAGAAACCGGCTGCAATGACAAATGAAGATTGGGAAGATTTGGATGACAAGACACGTTCAACCATCCTTTTGTGCCTGTCTAAAGAGGTTCTACGTGAGGTAGTAAGTGAGACGACTGCGTCAGATTTATGGTCCAAGCTGGATACGCTTTACATGGCCAAAACTCTGGCGAACACGCTACGCCTGAAGGAGCGTCTGTACACAATCTGTATGACGGAAGGTACTTTTATTAAATCTCACTTGGATGAATTCAATTCTATATTGTTGGACTTGGAAAATATTGATGTCATAATTGACGATAAGGATCGTGCTGTTTTATTGCTTGTCTCTCTCCCTAAATCGTACAAGCATTTCAAAGAAATTATGCTGTATGGTAATAGTAGTGATACCCTTACTTTCGACAATGTTAAGTCAAACCTATTGTCCAAAGAAAAGTTTGACTTTGAAATTAAGTCTGAGGACAAAGGTGAAGACTTGACTGTAAGGGGTCGTTCACTTGAATCAGGAAGTAGCAATAAAAATTCTAGATCCAAGTCCAAAGGACGTAAGTCCAACAAATCCTGCAAGTACTGCAAGAAGCATGGTCAGGTCATGATGTGACTGAATGCTTTAAGTTGAAAAACAAGCAAGAGAGAGAAAAGTCCGTTGAAGCTAGTGTTGTTGAAAGTGATTCAGAAGGCGATGTTATGTTATCTGTTAGCTTCGGTTGCAAACAGAGCGAAACCGAGTGGATTCTGGACTCTGGTTGTATATTCCACATGTGTCCTCACAAAGACTGGTTCGTCTCTCTGGAACCGGTTGATGGTGGAGTTGTCTTGCTGGGAAATGATACCCAATGCAAGGTTAGTGGAATTGGAAGTGTGCAGATTAAAACTCATGATAATGTTATCAGGACTCTTACCAATGTTCGGTATATTCTTGATTTGAAACGCAATCTGATATCCTTGGGAACCTTGGAATCTTTGGGGTGCAAGTACACAGCTGAAGGTGGAGTTCTGAAGGTCATAAAAGGCTCTCTTGTTCTCATGAAAGCTTCTCGTTCTGGAAGCTTATACGTCTTTCATGGCAGTATTGTGACAGGTTCAGTAGCGGTATCCTCATTGATGTCTGAGCGGATCTCACTCAACTATGGCATATGCGTCTAGGGCATATGAGTGAGAAAGGCATGCATCTCCTGAGCAAGAAAGAGCTCCTTGGTGGTTCAGGTACGGGTAAATTACAATTTTGTGAGCATTGTATTTTTGGGAAACAAAAGAGGGTTAGTTTCTCTACTGCTACACACCGTACCAAAGATGTATTGGAATACATACATTCCGATTTATGGGGACCAACTAAATTCCAGTCTATGGGAGGCTGTAGATATTTTATGTCTATTATTGATGACTTTTCTCGTAAAGTCTGGGTCTATTTCCTGAAACATAAAAATCAGGCATTTTCTATTTTCAAGAAGTGGAAAATACTTGTTGAGACTCAGACAGGTAAAAAAGTCAAGAAGCTCAGGACAGACAATGGCTTGGAGTTTTGTGAGTCAGATTTTAATGACTTCTGTGCGGCAAATGGAATCGCCAGGCACAAGACCTTGCCTGGTAAACCCCAGCAAAATGGTGCTGCCGAACGTTTGAACAAGACTCTATTGGAAAGAGCTCGTTGTATGCTCTCTAATGCTGGGTTATGGAAACGGCGTGATCTTTGGGCCGAGGCTGTTTCTACTGCTTGCTATTTGGTAAATAGATCTCCACATTCATCCATTGATTTCAAAATTCCAGAGGAAGTTTGGTCAGGTAATCCTGTTGACTACTCTATCTTAAGAGTTTTTGGATGTCCTGCATATGCTCATTCCAGTACGGGTAAATTAAACCCTCGAGCTGTCAAATGCATTTTCCTTGGTTATGCTTCTGAGTCAAAAGGGTATCGTCTATGGTCTCCTGATTCTCAGAAAATCATTCTGAGTCGAGATATCACTTTTGATGAAAATGCACTACTTTCTTCTAGAAAAGTTCACAGTACAGATGAGACGCAGAGTACTGGTGAGAAGGTGGAGTTTGAGTTCAGGCCTATTGACAGTATTACTACTGCTGATGGTAATACTGAAGATGCTGCATCTACTAGCACCGCACCTCTCGTCGAGCCACAACGAGAGTATTCCATTGCTATGGATCGTTCTAGGAGGACAATTAAAAAAACCTGCTATGTATGCTAGTGATATGAAACCAACATGGTTGCTTATGCTCTTTCAGTCGCATAGGAAGTTGATGGTGATCCATCCTGCTATTCTGAAGTTTTTCCTATTGCTAAGTTCAAACAGTGTTTGAGTTTAGTCGGCTGTTCCAGTGATTAATGTCTACAATGGATTTGATCCAAGGTGGAGATTGTTAGAAATAAGATTTTTTATGTGGCTCAAATCCAATAAGACAACAAAGCCGCCATCCACGTTGCCTGCTCAATGCATGTCTCTTCTTGCACATTCCTCCGATTGCGTCTCTGATCCGCATGCATGCCCACTTAATTCTCCTTTTTGATTGTATAAGTAGCTAGCTAAGCCTTGTAATTCAATGCATCAATCAATTGTAATTCATTCCTTCTTTCTTTAATTACCTCTCACGTAGATATATATATTTGTTGTCTTGTATTCTCTTTTGAGGATAATATATATATATATATATATATATATATATATATATATATATATATATATATATATATATATATATTTCTATATTCTCCCAATCACTTTATTAATTCTTTTTGTCATTTTATATAATTTTCTTCATTTAATATACTTTCCCTATTATTCAACTTCTATAATTCTCAATTTCGATTCTTCGCTTCCACGTTATTCCGCTATATTCCTAACAATATATTTTCAAGAGTTTGTTTGGAAATGCAAAAAATTATTTTTGAAAATCATTTTTCAGGTTTTTCGTGTTTGGTAAAAGTGAAAAATGTGAGTTAAAGGTAAATAATTGTTTGGTTAAAGAGAATTCAATTCCTTATTTTCTTGGAGAACAACTTCTCCTCTTTTTTGAGAAAATCATTTTCAATTTCCACACCAACACTGGTTACACCACCACCACTACCATTACCACCATCAACTCAACCACCACCAACACCATCATCGTCGTCATTGCTGCAGCCACCACCACCACCACTACTACCATTTATATTATTATTATTATTATTATTATTATTATTATTATTATTATTATAAATGTTGTTATATTCTAAACAAAACAATTAAAATGTTTAACAATTATGCTCATTTTTCAAAAAATGAATCAAACACAATAATACAATTTTTTGGAATGCAAACAAACAATTTTAGTAATCAACGATTTTTGGTTGAAATAAAAACAATTATTGGTTTTATTTGGATTTAGATAAAAACAATTTTTATTTATTGAACACTTAATTTTGAATTAAAAAAATCACTATTTATATTTTTTTGAATGCTACTCGCTCTATTACATTGTAGTATCTGTTCATATACTTTTTCAACCTATTGAAACACAAATAACCAATAACGCCTCCACTAAGGCTCGAATTTATAACCTTTCAAATGGAAGTCCAACCCAAGTACCATTAGACCACATAGTCCTAATAAATCACTATTTATATGTTTTATCACGAATCTAAATTTTTAACATTTTATTTAAAGCTAAATGGAATATCTATATCATGTCATAGAATATTAAAATAGTAAGACACATTAATATAAATAATATAATATTTTTTTTGAAAGAGAAAGTTTAATTCATATAAATAATAATATAATCTTAAGTTTCATATTGTCATCAATAATAGTTTAAAATGTAATCTTAATTTTTGTTTTAAAAAAATCAAAACTAATTAAAAACATAATTGGAGATATATTTAAATTAATTTGACACTAAGATAATTAAAATATTAAAATACTAGGTAATATCAACATATTGTTTATTTATTCATAATAAATTTAATTATTTAAAACAAATTAGTTATAAATAAATTTGAATATCGTTCGAGGATTGAACTATATAAAAAGATTTTTTTTTTATTTTTAAATCAGAAAGAGGGTTCTACCCGAGAAGACTAAAAAAAGTTGTCCAGACTCCTTGCTGAGAAGCCGGATTAACGGCAATGAAACCTGGCTTCGGCCTGATCGTTGAGGATGGCATCGCGTACGACCAGGGGCGGAATATCTAGAATGCGAGCACCAATAGGATGCGACAGGCCAGAGTAGCCAACTTGTCTGCCACCAAATTTTGCTCCCTGTACACATGCCTGTAGGCAATATCTTCTATGCTCCCAGCTTCCAGAATACAACGATGTAAAATATTATTACGTATGCTAATCTCACTTTGCAGGTAATGAACCGTAGCCTGCGAGTCACTTTCGACCACCAGCTTTTTGACGCCAAGCTCTTTTGCCAACCTTATGCCTTGCAAGACCGCCCAGGATTCTGCCTCCTCAATGCCACACCTCCCAATGTTAGACGTGAATCCACCTCTCCAATTGCCCTCTGAGTCACGCAAAATGCCCCCGCACCCCGCTGCTCCGCTTTGCTTGCGGCAACCATCCACGTTAATTTTCATCCAGCCTGCTTGCGGTTTCTCCCAAGCAACATAAGGTTCTGTTGATTGCGCTGGTATCCTCCCGGGGGCTCTGCACCTGGCAAAGGCACCTGTCACCTCAGCTTCGTACTTTAGCAGCCAGGCCTTCCGTTGAGAAGGCGAGGTTGAGACCTGGTTGAAAACTTCATCATTCCACCACTTCCACAGCCACCAAAGCCGGATGTCAAACCACTCTGACCAGCTCTCGTCGAAACCCCGCTTCGCTTCTCCCAGGAGGTTCACGGGCAGCCAGTCCTTCCAGTCCAAGGTGCTAAGGACTTCCATTGTTCGCCTTGGAAGCACTGACTCCCAAGTTTCTTTCGCGACAACGCAGCGCCTAAAAAGATGGTCTAGGTCCTCGATTCGTCCTGCACAACGAAAACATGTGGCATCAGTAGTTAATCTCCTTCGAACACGCTCCTCATTTGTGAGGATTCGCCCATGGTTTACAAGCTAGAGAAAGAAACAGATCCTCCCTGGTAGCCGAAGCTTCCAAATGAGGTTCCAATCCGTGTCCTGCTGGGGGGTTACGTTGTCTACCACCAATTCATAGGCGGATTTCAACGTAAACCGGCCATTCACATCCGGACCCCAACCTATTTCGTCATCCACGTCTCCTTCGACCAGCACGACGCTTGCCAGCCGTTCCTGAGCTTCGATAAGGAGCACATGAGCGATATTCTCCCACTTTAATTCCACCCTCGGTGGCTATCCCAATACTCATCAACAGTGGCATATAATTCAGGTAGGCTAAGCGGGATGATCATTTGATCTCTAGAGGCTTCGGCGTTACCCAAATGTCCATCCAGAATCGCGTGGATTTGCCATTGCGTATCAATTTAATACTCCTCTTCTCTAGAAGGCCCCATGCAGCATTTATTCCCCGCCACACGTTCGACTCCTTCCGTCTACCCTTGTCGTTGCCTTGACCAGCTGCCACTCGTTTGTATTTCGTTGTCAAGGATCGAGCCCACAAGCTGGTCGCCTCTGTTTTCAGCCTCCATCCTAACTTAACTATATACGCTATGTTGAGCTCGTGAAGCTTAAGAATACCCAGACCGCCCAACTCCTTCGCTGTAGTTAGGGATGTCAATCGGGCCAGCCCACTCGGTTTCGGGCTAGCACTGTCGGGTTGTCGGGCTTATCGAATTCGGGTTGTCGGTTAATTTATTATTTTATTTTCGGATTGGGCTAGTCCTAACCCTAAACTTCGGGTTGTCGAATTAATCGGGCGGGCTAAACCATCTTTACTAAAACTAAAAATCGAAAATGAATACTTACATAATTACATTCGATAAAACGGGTCACGTGGTCAACCGGATGAGCATTGCGCATTTGGGCACATTAAAATTTAAATCAAGAGATAAATGAATACTTACATAGTTTATAGTTACATTCTATAGAACATTAAAACGGGTCAACCGATGACTTGGCTATAATTAATTTGGCATTTGGAGTTTTGGACCGTCCACTGTCCGCAGACCATAATGAGTCAATGACTTATAAATTATAATTGAACATTAATTGTGATGGACATTTTTTAACAAGCATTTTAATGGTTACTGACGAGTGATAGCCATTCATTAATCGTTAACATATCATGTGCGAATTTACTAATTTAGAATAATGCTCAATGCCTCAATAGGCAAAGTAGAAGCAGTCAAGATGCATAAAAGAAAGTTGCTACTGATAGGCTTATTAATTAGTAATTTAGTGTGTCATTATTTTATCATTTATAATAATGTTGTGTTAAGTATGCTATCAAAATTTAAGAGTGTTAAGTATGTTATCAAAATTGAGAAAATATCATTTCCAAACTTCAATTCAATATATATAATGCAATTGTCAATTGCAACTTGCGGCTGAACTTGCATGTCCCTAAATGGCTAAATCCTTAATAAGCTAAGTAGCTAACATCCAAAATTCCAAATATGCATAAAGTCATAAAGTCCACTAAAAATTAAAATCACAAATTTAAAAGTCATAACTACATAAGTCCACAATTCACAAACCACAAATTAACAATAAGTTAAGTAGCTAACATCCAAATCTCCGTAGTTGGTAATTCAAGTCAAGTTATAAACTAAAACCACAAAGCCAAAATTCATAACTTCAATTCATAAGTCCACAACTCCACAAGACAACAATTCATAAGCCACAAATTCACAACAAAGATTAAAGTGCACTTTATCAAATCTTCTATTCCCTTATTCTTCCCCTCCAAGCTCCAACATTTGAAGCTCCAACTCCAACTTCATCATCTTCATCTAAAAAAAAAAAGTTTACATAATACTTATTTAATAAATTAATAGTACAAGTAAATCAAACTTGATAGAGAAACTAATATTACCATTCTTCCCCTCCAACATTTGAAGCTCCAACTACAACTTCATCATCTTCATCTTCATCTTCATCTTCACTTTCATCTAAAAAGAGATAACATAATACTTATTTAATAAATTAATAGTACAAGTAAATCAAACTTGATAGAGAAAGTGAGAAACTAATATTACCATTTATAGAAAATCCATGTAACCAATTACGTGCACAAATAAGAGCTTGTACTTTCTTTGGAAGAAGCCGATTCCTATATTTGTTCAAGATATGAGCTCCAATGCTAAAGGCGGATTCGGATGCTATACTTGTAATAGGAATAGAAAGCACATCACATGCCATTTTAGCAAGCTCCCCATAGCGGTGTTCTTTTTCTTTCCAATATGATAGCACATCTATATCACCCAATTGATTTAGTTGATCATCTTCCAAGTATTTGTCTAAATTAGACTTTGTATCCCCACTACCAATTCCACCTTGGTTTGGATGACGATAATCAACATAATCCTACATAATTTAAATATTTTACACAATTACATATGTTAACCAATGACAAATTGACAATAATCAATAAACATATATAATTAGTAATAAATATGAAGTAAAAAGAATTTTAACTTACACCAATAAGATTTTCATCCAATTTTCCCGATCCTCCCATACTTCCCAATCCTCCACTTCTTACTCCACAAATAGTTATTGTCGAATAGATTGAATAGTCTTGTAATTGAGAAGTAGAAACTCTAGAAGATGAAAAACCATCACTCTTCTTCTTATATTCATCATATAACAAGTATAATTTCTTCTTTATCCCTTCAATCTTGTCTTGACAAGTAAATGGATCAAGCTTCTTATAACAATATTCCACAAATTGTAACTTCAACCTTGGATCAAGAATAGCTCCCATTGCAAGTATTACACTATAGTCATCCCAATACTTGTCAAATTTTGCTTTCATGTTCTTAGCCATATCACTTATTACTTGATCCTCACTTCCTAAATTTTCAACCAACAAGCATTCAATCTTCCAAACTTGCAAAAAAATACAAATTTGAAGTAGGATAGGATGAACCTGAAATCAAATTAGTGATGGCATAAAATGGATACAAGATTGCACACATCCGTTCCGCTCTTGACCACTCTTCATTCGAAGGACAACACTTGTAATTTCTATCTTGTAATTCAAGAGAGCAAAAAACACGGCGATACCTAATAGCACTATCAAGATCACATAAGTTGAATTCCAACGAGTCGGCACATTCGTAGAAAGTCCACAAGTAATATTAACACTAACACGTTGAGCACACTCTTGAAATGCAATCATTCTTGCTTCGGATCCTTTAACATACTTAACACTCTCTCTAATTTTCCCTAAAGCAACACTAACAACTTTTAGTCCATCTTGAATAATCAAATTCAGAATATGTGCGCAACACCTCACATGAAAGAACTCACCATCACAAGGCAAACTATTTTGTAACAAAAGTTGTTGCTTTAAAAGTCTCACCATCACATCATTGGCAGAAGCATTATCCAAAGTTATGGAAAATACTTTCCTATCTATCCCCCAATCTACCAAACAATTATAAACTTTCTTAGACAATTCAAATCCAGAATGTGGGGGTGGCATATCACAAAATGAAAGTATTTTGTTATTTAACCTCCATTTCTCATCCACATAATGCACAGTCAAGCAAATATAACCCGCATTTGTACAAGCTGTCCACACATCACATGTTAAGCAAAGCATGCCAGGAATATTTTTCAACACCAATTTCAAATTTTCTTTTTGCCTTTCATACATTTGCATAACATCCGATGCCACAGTATTTCTAGTAATGAATCAAAAATTAGGATACAAATACTAAAGAAGTAGCCACACACTCCTATATTCCACCCATTTAAATGGAAGACCATGCTCAATTGTACACTAGGCAATTAAATCACGACAAATTTTTTGATCAATGACTCTATCCAATTTCCCTTGTTCAGACATAACACTCACATCACCCACACTTTCATTTGGTTTCTTCTTGCATACCCCTATATGACGGTTTAAAGTTGATGTTCCATTTTTACTACCATCATACAAGTATGATCTCTTGCAATGATTACACATTACCCTTCCTCTACCATCTTCACCTTTTACAATAGATGAAAAATGATTCCAAGCTTCCGATGTTTTCTTTCTTTTTTGAGTATTCGTAAGAATCTCACTATCATTTACATCAATTTCATTCACACTTAGAAAAGACATTTCTTTTATACCTAAAAATAAAATAAGCGTATAAAAAATATAATTGTCCAATAAATTAATTAAATACATAGTAATTCACTAATTAAGCATACAAACTACAAATTTATAAGATATTTGCATATATTAATTCACTCATTAAAGAGTAAAAAATAGTAATTTTCTAAATTCAATTATATTCAAAATTTTAAGGCATTCAAAATTTTAAACAAAGCTCCGGCACCCACAGGCGGTTTAGCCAGAGAAACACAAATACACAATTATGTCGGTACCCACAAGCGGTTTAGCCGGCCAAATTATTAAGAAAAAAAAACTCAAGGAGATAGAACTAATAGACTTATAGAAGTGACTTACCCACTGGCTAGTGGCCACTGCGTACTCTGTGATTGTCGGAGCTGGTGCTAGACGCTTCTGCGGATTGCGGTGCTGCACAGCTGCGGAGGGTGGTGGTCGGCGGGCTGAGCAGCGAGCAGTACAGCCTTTGTGCGTGACTCGTGAGGCGTGCAGGTGGTGCAGGCGTGCAACAATCTAGAGAGTAGAGACGATAGCCGGAGGATGGTGGTCGACGGGCTGAGCAAGTGAGCAGTGCGGCTGGCGGTCTGCAAGGACGACGGGAAGTCGGAAGTGAAATATTGAAATTTGTAGCGGGAATAGAGATTTGGGGAGAATTGCGCAGCTCAAATGCTCAATATCGCAAATGAAGAGTGAAGTTTAACCCTAGTCTTTTAGATTTAGTTTAAGTTTAAGTTTTTTTTTTTTTTATGTAGCCCGACGGGCCAACCCGGCTCAACCCGCCAGCCCTATAGGGTTGGCCTGATTAGCCCGATTAATTTTTCGGGCTAATTTTTTCGGTTTTTAACCGTGTAATTTTTTGGGCTTAACGGATTAGCCCATCGGGTTCGGGCCAAATTGACATCCCTAGCTGTAGTAACAGTTTGCCAGTTTGTGAGACTAGTCTTTTTGCTCCTAGTGCTAGTTGTGTCCCAAATGAATTTCCTTATTCTCTTCTCCACCTCCATGCAAAGGCTTTTGGGGAGGTACGTAGTTTGCATGGTATACACTGGTATGGCACTAAGGACTGCTTTGGCCAACACTACTCTACCTGCCGTAGAAAGCGTTTAGTCTTCCAGCCTTCCAGGCGTGCCGAGATTCTGTCTAAGATGCCCGAGAAGGTATTGCAAGTCACCCTACCGTGTAAGGATGGCACGCCTAAGTATCTCCCCATGTCTTTAGTTTCCGAAATGCCAAGCCTGTTCGCAATTGCAGAAGCCAACCCCGGATCCGTGTTGCGTGAAAAGTGAACCTACGACTTTTCTAAGCTAATCTTTTGCTCGGAGGCCTTGCAGAACCTGTCCAGGCAAGCTTGAATCACCCCTACTTGTTCGATGGATGCCTCGGAGAACAAAACCATGTCATCTGCAAAACAAAGATGAGAGAGTGTTGGTCCAGAAATAGCCAATTCAATTCCTTTCCAATTATGTTTACCCACTTCTGCGATGATTAAGTGACTGAGGCGTTCCATGCAAAGAACAAAAATAGCCAGGGACATTGCATCCCCCTGCCGAATGCCCCGTCCCGAGGCGAATGGGCGTAACTGATTGCCGTTCCAAGCAGCTGACAATCTCGAGGTCCGGATACAAGTCATTATAGTTTGGGTTCATGCGTCACTGAAACCTGCTTGCTCCAAAGTGTCCTGGATGAAATCCCAAGAGAGCCGGTCGTAGGCTTTTTCTAGGTTAAACTTAATGGCCATCAGACCTGTCGCGCCCCGCTTACCTCGCATTGTGTGCATCACTTCCTGATAATTTATTACATTGTCCGATATCTGCCTTGCCGGGACAAAGGAACTTTGGAACGGGCCCACTAAATTTGGTAAGATTTGCTTTAATTTGTTGGTTATAGTCTTTGTAATAATCTTGTAGCTCACGTTACACAGGCTGATGGGTCTGAACTGTTTAATAGTCTCCGGATTAGAGACCTTCGGGATAAGAACTATTAACGTATCATTCACTCCTTCGGGAATTCGGCCAGTTGTGATGGCCTCGTTGACCATTGTGAACACACTATCTCTAGTTTCCTCCCACATGCGTTGATAGAACGCTGCGGGGAAGCCATCCGGTCCCGGGACCTTGTACGGTTTCATATCTGAAAGAGCATTGTGAACCTCGTCTTTTGATACTGATCTGTTAAACACTTTCCAGTACAAGGTCAAAACAGTGGGGAAAGTTGCTTCTATCGCCAGATTAAAACCTATTTCATCTCCGCGGGCGAACAACTGAGTGTAGTAGCTTTGGATATGGGCTTTCAATTCACTAACCTCCGTAATCCAGTTCCATGATCAGTCCTCAGTTTGGTAACAGTATTCCTTGACTTCCGGACCATAGCAGAGGCGTGGTAAAAAGCCGTATTTCTGTCCCTGGATCCGATCCAATCTTCACGGGAGCGTTGGAACCACAAAAGCTCCTCTTGATAAAGGATTTATTCGAGATTCTCCCTAAGATTCCTTTCGAGTTTAGCCAATCCCCCGTGAAAAGAAACTGAGAGTCTGGATTGGATTTCCCCCAGCCGACTTAACTGAATCCAGCTGACGAAATTGGAACTGCATTGTGTGGAATACGAAACATAGTTCAAAGTTTCGTCCCGGGTGTACTATGGAGTTGAAATCCCCCGCCACAAGCCAAGGCCCCATGACGGATCTACTAGACTGTCTTAGATCCCTCCATAGGTGACGGCGTAGCTGGTGTGTCGGGCTGCCGTAGACCGGCGCAAAAAACCACCCGGGGGGGGGGGGGGGGGAACCCGCCTTGCTGATCTGCAAAAGAATAAATTGCGGGTGAGTAAACATTACGGTAGCCTGCACTGGGTCCTTCCAAAACACCCAGATGCCCTCGCTGAAGCCGAAAGCTTCGACACGGATCCAATCCGTAAAACCCAGTTTTGAGCAAATCCGATCAGCCTGGGACCCGGAAACTTTGGGTTCAAAGAGCCCCAAAACGCAAGGCTTGTAGACAGCTAAAAGGTGCCTAAGGGCGCGGTGGAATCTTTTGCCACTCGCCCCTTGGCAGTTCTAGGGGAGGCAATCCATAAAACCAAAAAACAAAAAGGAATGGAAAACCAAACCAACACACGCAACCAAAACAACCACCAGGACAACAAACACAAGAGAACAAACACTCAATGGCCAGATGTGGCCCCTACCATCCCCGGTTGCACCTAGATCTCCTCGAGATCCATTACCATGTCACCTTCTTCATCTAGACACCCTGGTGGATCAGAGTGGTGTTCTTTGGTGGACTGTAATACCGACGATGGTAAATCATTCACTAGCGCACCCACGGACACCCGTGCCGAGTGAATGACCAGCCCATCTCGTTTCCCCCTCACGACCACGTGCTCGTCCTCTTCTGCTGCGCGCCTATGGCTCGTTTCTCCTCCCTTACGGTAGCTCGCTGGAGTACCTCCTGCATTGACCCGCGATCCTCCCCCTTTGTTTGGCTCATTAGCAATTTGTTTTTCTACCGCAATAACATTCGGCTTCCTGGCTTTGCCCCCTGTCGTTGCTGGCGCCTATGATCCTCTCAATTGCTCTAGTCTGCCTCCGCCGTGCTCCATTCGTTCATTTGGCTCGCCTGGTGCCTCCCTATCCACGTCGGTGTCCTTCTCACCCTCCTGGACAACCAAAGGGGCAAATCTTGATACCTAGATCTCTCGGTCGCAGTTAGCGTTACTTCCTGGGCGTGTATCCTCCATTGCCTTATGGGTTCTCTCCGACGGTCTTGGTCCATTCCTCGGTTTCCTTCCCGGCGCAGTCATCTATCTGCCAACGGGCTCATCTCCAACTCGAACTGATGGTTCACCCACTACCTCCTCCTCGCGGTATGCCTCTGTTTCAGTCGCAGCTTTGTTTGTCTTGGGACATGCATCGAGTGAATGGCCATAGGCCCCACATGTAAAACATATCATGTGGATGCCCTCGTAAGCTACTGATCTTACCCGCCCCTTGTAGTTGAATTTGGAAATCAAAGGCTTCGTGATGTCGACTTCGATGCATATTCTAGCAAACTTCCCGCGTGACACCATACTAGTGGCCTGATCCACTCGTAGTGTTCTGCCAACTTTATTTCCAAGTTTTCTGAGGAAGATAATGTTGTAGTATTCCGCAGGTAGACACGGGATCCTCACCCACACCAACACCTTCTCTGTTGTATCCACGAAGGGGTCGAAGTCGGGTACCCAAGGTTTCACTATCAAATAGTGATCCAAAACCATCCAAGGGCCTCCAAACATGGCAAATTCCAGATCATCCACAGCGCCAAACTGAACTAAGAAATAATCGTTGTCAATGGCTATAAGATCAAGACTCCCTTTGGGTTTCCACATGGAGACTAACCGGCGTAGCAGGTAGGCATCATACCCCACCCTTCTACCCATCACTTTGACGATCAGGGTCTTCCTCCATGGTGCTCGGATCGCCTCCACCTCCTCTTTCGTCAATCGAATCGTCGGGCATAAGGGGTCGTCCTCCTCGCCATCGGAATCATTTGCTCTGATCTCCTCCTTGACCGCAGCCTCAGCATGCATGGGCAGGGATGAGTGGCCGGTGACGCTTTCAGCTTACGTCCGACGAGGTTGCGTAGGGCCCTGTGTAACCAAAGGATGTGTCAGTGATAACCCAGGGTTCAGATCACGTGTTACCTGGAGTGGCGGTGATGATCGAGCGTCTTCCATCTGATCCTCACGCGTTTCTTTGACAATCTCCACGTCCGTCCGTGGATCTGCCACCTCCATCGCGTCCGATGGATGGCTCAATGTTTTTTGGTCAGAGCGTTTAGGCTTCTTCGTGCTCCTGGCGAGAAGGTCGTGATCTTCGATCGAACGCTGGCTTGAGAGCTTTTCAGGCTCCATCTCTCAATTTGTTGAACTATATAAAAAGTTGTAGTATATGGAGTGGTTCAACTAAGTGTAAATAAATAAATAAATAAATAAATAAACACATTCTATATCTATTAGGTACCAATAACTTGACCAATTTTATTTTGACTTAATCAAATAAAAAATAAGTCAAATGACACAAGATTTAATATATATATATATATATATATATATATATATATATATATATATATATATATATATATATATATAAGTTTTTTTATGCGTATGGCATTTCCATAAAATTAGTGCCATTATATTAACTAATTAAAAAACATTAAAAATTAGTGTACATGATTTTTCAACGAAACTCGCTCCTACTTGTTATGGGCACATGATACTCAGATCTAGAAGTGCGTTCAAAATGTACAACTTCAAACGTTTGACGGAGTGTATATATAATATTAACAAGTGTTAATTGATAAATAGATATGAAATGATATTATAAAGTATTGCTATAATATCACAATAAAAATAATGTTTTACTTTTAAATGGAAAATGTGTTGGGTGGGGTGGATTTGCCCCATTAGATGTATTCATTGGGAAGTGAATGTGTAGGCAAGATGAAAATGAAAGTATATGGACCAACTTGACTTAGGGAGTGTATTCAATGCTAACTTTCATAGATTTTTAAAGATTTTTATGAACTTTAAAAGTTTAAAGATATTAAATTCAAACTTTTAAATAGTTTTTAAAAGTCATAGGTTTTCAATTAAGATTTTTAAAGAGTCCTTAAAAGTCGGGTGGTATTCGATTAAGATTTTTAAACTGTCTAAAAGTCATGCGATATTAAAAAAGTTATGAACTTTTGTAGACTTTATAATTTTAGGACTTTTGTAGACTTTTCATTTTCAAATATAAATAGTTGAAATCCAACCATAAATCTCAAGATTTTAAAATTTTCTTTCTGCCAACTCTATTTAAACTCTATTTCTTTCTTCTTATTTAAACTATATAAACTTATACCTAAATTCAATAAATTATGTTTTCTTCATTAACCTATATTTTCTTCATATCATACTCTACCATTTTTTTTCTCTCTCCTAAACTTTACAATCTTCCACAAGAAATTCTAAATAATATTAATGGTTTTATCGGGACCGGGTCCACCATAAACTGGGTATAGGAAATAAAAACGGAATAAAAGAGATATTATTGCTAGTGGGACGCGAGGCCCACAGAAACGTGCACAAGCCCAATGTTGCAGGCCTAGAAACAGTAGTACAGGAAAGTTATACGGTGAAAAGGGAAATAAATAGATAGACAGACACCTGAATTACATGCATAATACCAGAATCGATCCTTTGACCAATTAGGAGAGAGAGAAGACTCAGACCGCCAGCCTACCAGGTCTTTTGTGTTTCTTGCCCCGCCTAAACTGACCGCAGCCCCGCCTTTTATACCCTCTCAGGACTTCCGCATACCACATACGTGTATGACATCTACAGCCTCCAGCTCCCACCATACACGTGTCCTCCCATCTCCGCACGTACCCCCAACTACTCGAATGAGACCGATTTTGTCGCGCACTCTCCAGGGATCCCCACTCCTATACACATCGCCCTTACGTGCGCAGCATGCATGCACTAGCCACCATTCCACCCGCATGCATGCATGTACGTAGTCGCCAACAGCGTGCATGCAACCGCCACCCGTACGCGCAGCCGCCACCTTATACACATGCAACTATCACTGTACGTGCAGCCACCACCTTGTGCGCATGCACCCATCACCCGTGCGCGCAACCGCCACCTTGTACGCATGCAACCGTCATCCGTACGCGCAGCCACCACCTTATACGCATGCAACCGCCACCCATGCGCGCAGCCGCCACCTTGTACGCATGCAACCACCACCCGTACACGTAGCCGCCACACTGTACGCAAGCAACCACCTCGCATACACGCGTGCATGCATGTTTGCGAGGTCCATGCATACGTGTAGGCATACAGGCGAGCCCATGCATGTGAGGCCCCCTCCTCATCCCTTTGGGCTCACACTTTCTAATCTACATGGGCCAAGCCCATTACATTATTCTCCATCATAAGTCCCCCACTTCTATTAATCATTGGTTAATGATTAAAAGAAGCATGCCTCAGTCCACTAAGCAAGGCCCAAATTCCATGATAAAACCCTGGAATTAAATAATCTTAAATATGTAGTTCCTCCCTCTTTCCCGGCCAATTACGACTCCTATTCCCTCTCCATTGCAAGTTGCAACAGCTCCCTTCTTCTTCGCCACCACTCCCCCGAAAACCTCGTCTCCTCTACCGCCCATGAATCCCCACCACATCAACCGTGGACCTGAGATCACCCTCACATTATCGCCTGCTTCCTTTGTTGTACCCTCTCTGACCGTCGCCAACAGAATGCATCCTGTCATGTCCTCTTCCTTCCCCCACGCTAAAGGTCTCGCCACAGGTGCCACCGCGACGACCAACACTCCCCGATTGCTCCCTCCATGCCCAGTGCCTTCACGTCCATGGGGACCCACGACGTTTCCCCTACCGCCGGCGATCGCGCCGCCCCGTCTGCTTGTCGACTTCAACCCTCGCAACACCCACTTTCGGAGAGTCCGCCGGGGCATGACCACGACCGCGACCACGGCCGCCACCGCCACTGCGCCTGTTGCCCATCGCGATCTTCTCAATGCCGCCGGTAGCCGCCGAAATCCCTTCGCCATCTCCGCTCCCCGTTCTCGCGAGGCAACGCTGTTAGATCACTCTGGATGCGCACCCACGCCCGCAACTGCAACTCATGCTGCACTTACCGATGTTATGCTGAACGCCATTGCCGCCAGCCAAAGGTTGGTACCCTTTGTTATTAATCTTGTAGATGGTGGGTCCCATCCGACCTCCCCAAGTTACCGTATTTTGGATCCTGCCGTTCCCTGCGAGATCCAATCTCGTTTGTCCAGTGTTTAGTTGATGTCTCTGGATGAATGGTTGGGTGAGGGGATAAAAATAATTATCTTGGGCGCCACGGATAATATGATTGAGCCTCTGGGCCCTCTCTTGGTGGAAGTCCATTTCCATTCTATTCAAACAGGTCTCCAATTTCCTTTACACCCTATGGTAGCTGAATTCCCTAGCGTCCATAACGCTATTCCGTGCCAACTTACCCCCAATGTGCACAGACTTCTTACTTGCTTTCTTACGAGATGTCGCGAAGTTAGCGTACCGCCTTCTTTGTCTCTCTTCCTGTAGATGTACCGTCTGTACCGCACCGGCGACCAAACCACCTTGTTAGATGGAGAAGATTCACTGGTCAATGCACTGTCAGATCCTACTTTGGATGGTGGTCGGTCTTCCCCGATGATGGATGCGGACATGGATCTACCTACTCCGGTTGATGGATTATATGAACCCGGGGGTTCGAATTATACAACCTGTATATATGATCGTATATGAGAAATAAATAACGAAACGATAAATATTGTATTAATTGAGCGAATAAAGCTATTACAGAGGTTCGGGGCGTGTAATAACGTTACAAGTACTGTATGAAGGTAGAAGATGTCTGGTTAGGACACCGGGGGGGTGTTTATATACCCCGGGCGCTATGGGCCCCGGGCTCACGGGAGGAGCTGCGGCCCGCGCCGTGGGACTCGCTCCACGCGAGGAACCGGCCCTTGGCCGAGCACGGAGGTGGCCAAGGGGCCGAGGCCGAGCCCACGGGGCTCGATCGAGCTCGGTGGGGTCGGCCAACGCCGACCCCCCGTTGTGCCGACCCCGGGGTGGTTGGCTGACCCCGGGGCGGTTCGCCATGCTACGTGGGGTCCGACCTGGTCCGTGTTGTCCTGCTCTGATCCGGTTCCGTGATTATTCCATCATCAGTCTCCCACTCTCGGGGCTGTGAGAAGTCGTCAGCGCGAGAGAGTAAAACAAGCTTAATAATTACGGGACCCCAAACCGCGTTCCAAAAATTCAACCCATCTTCCTGTAGAATCCTCATCGCGATAGGACTCCTAACCGAACTGGAATTTAAATTTGTGTTCATCATTATCAGCTTAAGAATCCTTATCCTAGCATAACCCTTCAACTTCCCATTTAAATACCACCCCCATCTCCCCAAACCCCCTCATCACATTCCCAAGACCACACCTTTTCCTCTCCCCAAAATTTCCCCCCTTTACCCAAAAAATGTACCCTCTTTTTCCCCCCTTCCCCCCCTTTCCTCTATATAAAGTAGCCCCTCCTCACTCCCCACACACACAACCAAGCTCCCAAAATCTGAAAAATCTCCATCCTCTCTCCCCCCAACTGTTCTGGCAATCCGAACCGCCGTCGACCACCGCGCGCCGCCGTCGATCGCCGTCCAGCCGGCAGCCGCCGACTGCCGACCTCCGCTGCCTGCCGATCGCCGGACAGCCCCAGCCGAGGCCGACCCCGACCTGCCCCCGTCCCGCCGAGGCCGACCCCACGCCGCCGCGTCCACCTTCCGCGCCTCCTTTGCTCCTCCTTGCTTGAATCGGGTGAGTTTCATTGCACACCCTCTTTAGAGTTCCTTAGCTAGTTTTTTATGAGTATAGTGCCTCTTGCCGAGGACGCACACCCCATAGATTTACCCTTGTTTTTCAATTATTGGACTGTCTTGGATTCTATTGATTATGTGGACCTCCCACCTAGTGATGACGAGTCCATTGATT